ATTGGCCAGACCTGGGGCACCAGAAGCTTTGGACCGAACTGAAAAAAGAAACAAAGAGGCCAAGTCTCAAGCCAGGAAGGCAAGGACTGGCTCCTGCCATTGTCCTGACCCCTGTATGTACAGCGAGGCATGTGTGTACCTGCACTGCCCCCCCCCCCAGGAATGCTCACAACTCACAGAAACACAAGGAAAATAAGCACTCTAAATTAATATTGGAGTTTGGTTATCTTTTTGCACAAGATCTTTATTAGTCAGCTCATCTGAAGCATCTGCTCATTGTCCATTCTGTTACCGTGACAACTGTCCCACAGATGACCCAGGACTGACACTCAGTGTCCTGCAGCCACATATATAAAGTAACATTTCTCCAGAATCCCCCTCTTTCTGAAGCACATGGTGACTTTGTGTCACAGCTCATTTTAAGAAGGAATGCAAAGCAGGGTAGGAGTGATTTTGGGGTCCCTCACCCAGGCCATCCTGCAGACTGAGGTAGAAGGTACCTAGCCCTTATGGAACATGATCCCCCCAAAACCAGTATGTCAATTTTTTTTTCCAGACAGGGTCTCATGCTGTAGCCCAGGTTAGAATAAAACACACCATGCAGCTCAGGATGGCTTTGAACTCAAAGAAATCTTTCTTTCTCAGCTTTCTTCACACCAATCTGAGGGGTTTTGCTTCTAGGACGGGAGCCTAGTTGTTCTTGTTTCTCCCTGAGAACTAGTATACAGTTGATTTCTGGCTTTGAGTTTCTTTGTCAGAGGCAGGAACGTACATGACGTGATGATATTCCTTATGTCAGCATCTAGAAGGGATTTACTGGGCTGGACTCTAGAAGCCAGGACTTCCCATCCACACAGCACATGCATCCGAATGGTGCCTCACCTGCTGCTGCACTCTAGAGCTGCTGAAGGGTGAGGCACCCCTCCCCAAGTCCTTTTACAGGATTCCAACACAGCAAGTCCTGGTACGAGCATCTGCCATGCTGTTCTGTGAGTGGACAGTCTGAGGCACTTCTAAAACGGAAAAGCCAGTCTCATTTTTTTTTTTTTTAAAAAAAGAAGACTCTTCAAAATTATGATAGCAAGGGAAAGAATTTATAAAATAATAAAAAGAGGGCTGGAGAGACAGCTCAGCAATTAAGAACACTGGCTCTTTTTCCAGAGGATCCTGGGTTGTTTTGCAGCATTTACATGGCAGGTAACAATCATCTGTAACTCCGAGTCCAGGGACTGACATCATTTCTGGCCTACTTGGGCACTGCTCACACATGGTACACAGACATACATTTTTGACAAAACACTCATACACACAAAATACAAGGAAATCTTTAAAAAAACATAAAAAGAGAGAACATTTAATATTTCAGTGTGGTGATTAGTAAAAAAAATATTAACTGATTTATTGTTTGTAAAATCTATTTTTTTTTAAAGACGACTAAAATGAGTGTCATTTAAAATTTCACAGACAAGAATAAAAATGGCTGGTTAATACCAGATGTGTGTCTATCAAGAAAACACCATAGAACGTTCTTACCAAAGCAGAAGTCATGAAGCGGTCAACTGGAGGTACAGACTCAATTGGGGGTTTACAAAGCACATACTGATAGATGCAGGACTATCATCAAAAATACAGGAGAGTTAGACATGGGAGAGACACCAAGTTATAAAGGAAAATTAAAATATATTTGAATAAATAATAACAGGACCAACCAGGATGTACTTTAAGATGTGGCTCTGTTACTGTTATAAAAAGTAAACTTCCTTCAGGTTAGCAAGAAAACAAAGAGTCCACAAAGAAAATTTGCAGAAAATAATTTATATCTACACATGTGATAAAGGACAAAAAAAATCCTTTTATATAAAAACATAAATGAGCTGGGTATGGTGGCACATACCTGTAATTTCAACACTTAAGGGGCTGAGACAGGAGGATGGAGTTTAAGGGCAGCATGGGATACACAGTACATTCTTGTCTCAATTCAAAGTAACAAAAACTCCAAACTGATGAGAAATAAAAAGAATCTTTCTCAGTATATTATCCTAAACATTCTCTGAAAAACTAAAACTGGAGAGTATTTAACATAATTATGTAAAAATGTTTGTGAATACTAGGTTTTTGTTACTGTGTTTGTGTGTGCACATGGACAGTTGTCTGTGGAGGCTAGAATACAGCACTGGACCCCCACAGCTGGAGTTCTAGGTGGTCAAGAGCTGCCTGATGAGGATGCTGGGAACTGAACTGGAATCCTCTCCTGCCTCACAGGAACACTGCTATGATGAAAAAAAGAGAGTCTCATTTATAGGAAATACACAGCCCCAAAACCTAAAATCATGCTAGCTAAGTAAACCTGTACAGTCCCAGGCAGTTGTGAGTGGAACAAAATATCCACCCGAGGTCACAAAAACAAGGTAAAGTGAAATTCAAAAATAGCTTAGATTAAAATAAAAAAGATAGACATTGGACCTGGAGGACTGGCTCGGTGGTTGAGAGCAACCGCCTGCTCTTCTGGAGCACCAGTGTTCGATTCCTAGCATCCACATGGTGTCTCACAACATCTGTAACTCCAGTCCCAGGGATCTGATGGCCGTCTGTCCTCTGTGGTACTACACGTATGTGGTATACAGATACACATGCAGGCAAAACTCGAATATTCACATTTTTTAAAACAAAAAAAGATAATTTACAGTGTCAATGAAGGTGTATTCTAACCACTCACATTCTCCACACTTGTAGAACACTTTCTTGTTTCCTTTCTGTATTAAGCAGATCTGAAAAATCTCAAATTAAGCAAATTATACTTGTCTTATTACTTATTGCTGTAGGGGTAGATAGTTTGGAGTTGATCTCCGCTTTCATCTCTTTATGGTATTAAACTCAGGCGGCCGAGTCTGTGCAGCGAATGCATTTACTGGCTGAGCCATCTTGCTTGCCCAAGAAGTAAATGATTTGCTAAAAGGGGGAAAGAAAGTATCCAAAGGGCTAAGGGAGAAAAGACACCAGTGACTATACAAGGAAATAAAAGAATACACAAAAGCTATTTGTGCCCAAATCCCATGGGAACCCAGAGGACCATCAATGTTTTCCTCCACCTTCTTGCTGACTTAAGCAGCAAATGGCAACAATGTAACAACTTCGACAGCAATGTAACAGCTTCGAATGTTGCCCCACTGGAAATTTGAGGGTGACAGCTGGAAAAGCTGGGCGGCATGATATAATTTAGCAGCCTAGCTTGACGTAGTAAAACCAGAAATAGCCATAGCTTCATTTTATTCCAGTTAAAAACCTATTGGGACAGATTTTCATTTGAATATCTAACAACCTTAATTAAAACCATACAAGGGTCTTATGACTATTCATAGTCACCTAGGGTATTAAAGGGTTTTGACCACCTAATATTGGGAAAGAGGTGAGCTTCCAGGGCTGAATACTAAATAGGTGATGGTGTGTTAGCATTCTGTCTAAACTCCACCCCACAGTTACCTGGCAACAGCCAGGTAGCCCTGACCCACTGTAAAAGTGGCTGCTTGCCTCCTCCTCCCTCTTTTGATCTCTTTCCTCCTCGCCCACTCCTTCCCCATTCCCTTCCCCCTCTCTCTCCACATGCTCATGGCCGGCCTCTACTCTTCTACTCTCTCTCTCCCCTGTCTTTCTCTGCCTCTACTACTCTTTTAATTCTCCCACCCATGCCCTGAATAAACTCTATTCTATACTATATCGTCATGTGGCTGGTCCCTCAGGGGGAAGGGATGCTCGGCATGGTCCTGCAGAGGCATCCCTTCCCCCACACCTCACTACACCTCCATAGAACATATCCCCTCTCTTTTTATCTTTTTACAAACACATCAATAGTCTCAATCAGTCAAGAAGACAAACAATACAACTGGACTTGTAACTGTAGTTTTATTAATTTTCTTTAATAACCATGGTTCATACAAGTAAGTTAAAAGTTTTAGGGAATGGAGTAGAGTATAGTTCACTTAGCATGGGGAACAACCACAAGCCTGTGGGCAGCTTGGTCCTTCATAGACAAAGAGGCATCACAGGGCTAACGTGTGATGTGGCTTAGTGTCAGGGCATCTGTCTAGCAACCTGGAGCCCTGGGTTCCAACTTTAGCACCGTGCCCTCCAAGGGAGGTAAAGCTCACAGTCAACATCTCAGGGTCTCAGCTGAGTAACTTCTTTGCAAACTTTTCAGAACACATTGGGTAGGCCTCACTGAGGTTCTGAGAGGAGAGCTACAGTATTTAGTGCTTTGAGTTTTCAAACAGCTATGTGGTCAGAAAAGCAGAGGGTAGAGGATTTGATGGTGGGTTTCCCTTTAAACACTGCTCCCTGTTAAAATGAAGTAGCTAGGTCATGAAGTTTTCTGGGTCAAGCCTAGACATTCTGTGAACCGGAGGCACAGAGGATGGTTTCTGTCTGCAAAAAGAGCTGAAGAAGCCCTTCTGGGAAGGGAAACTCGAAAGAGCACAGGGAAGGTAGTAGTGGGCACATGGAGGTGGGGCAAGAACGGTAGGTGGTACGTGCAGGAAAGGCAGGTGGTGGGGATTGTGCCTGCAGGTCTTCCTGCAGCATCCTGTGTGGTGAGGCGTGCCTGCAGGTCTTCCTGCAGCATCTTTGCTGGGATCAGAGCACACAATCCTATCCGTTCTGTTTCTTTTAGCTCTGGGATCCAATGGGTGAGTGCAGCAGATGCTGCCCCAGGGCAGTGCTCATCCGTCTAGTGGAGATGGCTCTTCACCAGTGGTCCTCAGATTGCCCAGAGCCACAGTGGGGTTACGATCCTGGGTGAACATCTTTCTCCCAAGCTGGTGCTTGTGTGGGCAGCATCTTTTATTACTGCAGCCACTTCCCTGGACTGTTAGCCTGTTGTTATCGTTATTATTATTATTATTATTTTTCAAACAGGGTCTCCCTACACAGCCCAGGCTAGCCCTGAGCTTTCCATCTTCATGATTGGTTCTTGGGTGCATTCAAAATAAGAAATTCTGTTTTTGACATTTTGTTTTATGATATTAAGAAAAAGATTTGTTTTTTTTTTTTTTTTAAAAAACGGACCTTAATAAATCCTAGTCCTGCCTAGCCCAAAGGAAGAGCAAAGATGGGGTCAGTAAGTGAATGGATATACTCTGCAGTCTCACCTCTCGGGGACAGGATATGTTGTAGGAATACTTCTCTTACCAGTGTCTAGGGGTCAAAGGGGTCTGCAGTAAAGGATGGCAGGCTGTCCCTGGGCCACACCTCCAGGTCTCTGTGGTAAGGACTGAGCAGGCAGAACACACATCTGTGAAGGAGGCAGGTGACTGCTGCTGACCGGGGTGGAATCCTTGCAGGGTTGTAAGGGGTACTGATACCAGAAACCAGAGGGTTGTAATGACCCAGTGCTCCCTGCTTCTGACCTAGCAGGCAACATTGCCCCTAACTGCACATGGTGGATTGGTTTACAATTGGCTTTGTCCTTTACCAGGGGACAACATCCCCCACCCCTCTATAGGCTTTCCAGAGAACTATGGAGCTACAGAAGAATTAAGGAAAACAATTCATTTGTAAATGCTCAGAGCAAAGTCAATAGGGAGACAGCCACTCAGCCCACTGGGAGACAACAGCGTTGAGCGCACATTAAAGCAGGAACGGAATTAGTATCTTTCTTGATTTGGGGTAATTTTCAAACTTCTCGTGGTACCACCTAAAACGAGAGAGACGAGGTTTAAAGACCGATTCGTCCTGCCATGTCAGCATTTGCGAAGACAGCGACAAAGGTGGCTGTGTAAGAAGTAAGGGTTCCCTGTTTTACGTTTTAAGAGTGCGCGTGTGTGTACGTGCACACACTGTGGCAAGTGTGTGGAGGTCGGAAGACAACTTTCTGAGGGTTGATTCTTTTTTCCAGTGTATCGGGTGTACCAGGCACTGAACTCAGATCCTCAGACTTGCTGGGAAACGTCTTAGATTTAAGGGTAGATCTCTCCATGTCTGAACAATCTCAAGTATCTGAAGTGTGTCTCAGAAGTGGCCTGGGTAAATTCCCATTTCTTGTTGGAAGGGAAGTTGCTGACGTGTACTAAAAAATCGTAGTGGGTTGGTCTGATGCTGCTTGTGTTCTAATGCTAAATACTAAATACTGGCTTCTCAAGATGTGCTTGCTCCCCCCCCCCGCCCCGCCCCGCCCCACCCCACCCCGCCCCGCCAGTGATCCCCACATACATCAAGTGATGCTATGTGAACCTTGCTTCCCAGTGTAACTGGTCAATAAAAGACTAGAGCCTGTAAGGGAGAAAGGTAGGACTTGAGGATCCAGGGAGGGGGTCACAGGCAGAGGGAGAGGAAAGAGAAAGAAGATGGAGGCAGAGGAGTCCACCATGAGAGGAGATGGACCATGAGTATGTGACCAGGAGGAACAGCCAGTAACGTGGGATTTCATAGCTGGGGAATAGGCTAGTATAGCTCCAAGCCTATCCAATCCAGGTTTACAGCTTGTAAATAAAAGACCTGGAATGCGTGTCTTTGATACGAGCTAGCTAGGATTATAAATTCATTCAACAAGAAAATACAGTTGGTAGTGTCTGCAATTCAGCTCTTCACTCCAAACAAATGATATATTTTTTTCTTTGTTTGTTTGTTGGTTTTTCGAGACAGGGTTTCTCTGTGTAGCCCTGGCTGTCCTGGAACTCACTCTGTAGACCAGGCTGGCCTCGAACTCAGAAATCCGCCTGCCTCTGCCTCCCAAGTGCTGGGATTAAAGGCGTGCGCCACCACTGCTCGGCACAAATGATAATTTTTACTTTTGATATAATTACATCAACGTAGGCCGCCCGATGGGAAGACTGACAACCAAATAGGCGGAGTGAGGATGGGAAAGAAGGCTGGGTTGGAGTGTGCCCGAGCCCGGGAGCTGGAGGACAGACTGAGCAAAGGTGCGTGAAACCTCATCTGTGGGAAATCACTTTTTCCTTTATAAGATTTAGACACGGTACATAAAGAGAAGCTTCCACAGGTGAGGAAGATGCTAAACAGAGTAAAGATGACAAAGGAAAAATGATTGTTTGTTAGTGAAGGAGAAATATGAGACAAGGAGTGGGAAGAGAAGCGGAGGTGTACTGCTTGCTGTCTTTAGGTTGATCCGACTGTAGTCCACAAACACAGAAATGATAACCTATGGGGCCGACCACCGCAGCCGCTGTCATATGCTGCCTAGGCATTAGGAAAAACGACAAGAAGCTGGCCAGGTCCTCTGCATCCCCTGTGACCTCTCTGGCATGAAGGGCTCCCAGGGATAGGAGCCTTTTCTAGAGGTTATTAATGGCTGCCAGTGCAAGCAAGGGACCCATTTCACAACGTGACTGTCAACACTCACAGGTGCTGAAGTACCCAGAGGCCTGCCAGGGGCTCAGCCGCTTCTCACAGCTCCTTCTTAAGATGCCCTGGGGATACCTGAAAGGGCACCCTGTGTGGATCAAGGAGGTTGGTTCTCCTAGAAGCCAGCTACTGGAGAGGACCCAGAAGGACAAAGGGCCGAACAACCAGGACAGCACAAGTCATCAGAGATGAGTGTGCACGCTGGTCGTGTGACCTGGCACACCACTGACGGACGCTGTACACCTTTGGCTACTATGAGGTGGAAGGCCATTCACCTAGAGGTGTTGTCAGATTGCTTGAAAAAAAAAAATCATTAGATACCCAGGGATGAGATATGCCGATTTCACAATTAAAGTAAGCCTTTCGATTACTGAAATCACAAGTCTGCCTCAAAATGCCGTATCTTAAGATGTCCACGTATGCATGCACGTATAGATGAGTTTTTTAAAGCCGTAATTGTTTTATCTCCCATCCCTAGAACTAAAGCTGTCACCTACATGACCAAACAGGGCTGGCTCCTATGTTTCAGTGGTCTTAATGCTGCTGACTGAGCTCACGGCCCCACGCTTGGGAAAGTTAACAGCCTACCTCCATCGTGTATAGTTTATGCCCTTCAGTCTTTAAACTGGTTTCCAGTTAGCTATTGTGTGTATGACTTCCGAATAGACCTACGTTCCCAGCCTCTCCACAACAGGTCCCCCTCAGAGGCTTCTTATCTTTATGTCCTGAGGGCTGGAGTAACTAGCGCTGGACTCCACAGAATGTGTTTCTGAGTCTTGGGCTGGAGAGGCTGTGGGAATAGCCAGTGTCCAAAACACATTCTGTTGTCTTCTTTTATTTAAATCCCTATTGCAAAAAATTCCATCACTGGATCCTGAGGACAGACTGAGGTGGTTCTTAAAGGGCCATTGAACTTGATAAATAAGTAGCATTACTGTAATCTCTTTCTCAGATTTCAGTATTTTGTCTATGGCTGATCTTCAAGAGCAATCATTTGCTATGAACAAACAAGAGTGTACCTGTATCTGCTCTGCCATGGTATGGAAAGCTATGACCTTTCACGTGACCTGTCACACGTTCGATCCTGTGCTAATTAAGTATGGCTGCTCAGGCTCCTGGAGAAGGCAGTCTCCCCTGAAATTTCTTAAAGTTTTATTTTCAACAGAGTACATGTGTTAGCAAGCTACAAGAGCTAATGTCCTAGGGTTCGGCTGTCAGTGCAACCATTATAAGCTGATGTTTCTACAGTTTCACTGCCAGGCAAAAATAATTCTGCTGTACTGCAATGAACACACAGCTAGGACTGTCTATTTCAGGTGTTTTCTTCTCAGTAACTTATCTGATGGTTTGCCTCTTGGGTTTATTGAGTCTATATATCATCCATCCATCCGTCCGTCCGTCCGTCCATCCATCCATCCATCCATCCATCCATCCATCTATCTATCTATCTATCTATCTGCCAGTCCAGAATGTGTTCAGAAATATTGGCCTTGTAAGCTAAGGACAAAGTAACTATTCCTCTTGGGGTGGAGTGCAGGATATTGTTATGTTACCTTGGCTGGTCTGTTAATTAGAAATCCCCCTGCCTCAGCCTCTTAAGGAGTCCGTCTCTTAAGTGATTTTAGGCTCCTTATTCTTATGGGGGAAATGTTACCATAGCTTTAGAGTCCACTGTGAGGTATCAGGGCTCGCTCTGTCAAGGTCCATTAAGAAAGTGATTTGCTCCTAGTCAAAAGAATGGAATCTACCTTGGGTGGGGACCTTACATTTTGATCTACTCCAGTGAGTATAACATGCCATACTATTGACTCTTTCATTAGAAGTTCAGCTGGGGCTGTTAGTCACCTGGCCAAGAGACCCTCAGGAAATTATATTCATATAAAGTCACGGTAAAGAGACAGGAGGAACAATTGCCCCTTGATGAGATGGTACACTTTCCCTCTGAGAACCCTGCCCTCAGTGTGGTTGCATATGCCGCTAACAGGCAGTCTGCTAAGACTGCCCTCTTTTCCGAGTTGAAAACTGTGACTTTTCTTTCTTTCTTTCTTTCTTTCTTTCTTTCTTTCTTTCTTTCTTTCTTTCTTCCTTCCTTCCTTCCTTCCTTCCCTTCCTTCCCTTCCTTCCCTTCCTTCCTTCCTTCCCTCCTCCTCCTCCTCCTCCTCCTCCTCTTCCTCCTCCTTCTTCCTCTGAGATATAACATCTCTACATATGTCAAGTTGGCCTTGTACTCACTATATAGCCAAGGCTTTCCTTGAAGTCACTGGGTGTGGTCTCCATAGTCTCTCTGAACAAAAGAACGGGCAGTTTCCCACAGTTACAGGATTTTGAGAGATGCCTCATAGTCCCCTGGGACCTACTTGACCTTGGAGGGTAAGGGAGGTAAAGAGTCCCCCTTTATCCCTCTGAATCCATCAGCATAGCCTTTAAATATGGCTACTCAGCAACCAGGTCAATAGACCAGTCTGATACACTTATCTATTGTGTGACAGTTAAACAAAACTTAAGTAAAAAAAAAAAAGAAACCAAACACTTGAATTTTGATTCTTGGAGCCAGCCTTCGTAATTGTTATGAAGCGTTGACCTATAACTCCATTGATTGACTTTGACAACAGTGTATTGAACTTTGACCTTCTGCACCTCCCATTGTCTCAGGGTCACTATTGCTGTTACGAAATGCCACAGCCAAAGCAACATGATAAGGAAAGGATTTGTTTGTCTTCCACGTCATCGTTCATCATCAAAAAAAAAGTCAGGACAGGAACTCAATCAGGGCAAGAACTTGGAGGCAGGAGCTGATGCAGAAGCCATGGAGGGATGCTGCTTACTGGCTTGCTTCCCCTGGCTTGCTCAGCTTGCTTTCATATAGAATCCAGGACCACCAGCCCAGGATGGTCCCACTCACAATGGGCTGGGCCCTCCCTTGTTGACCACTAATTAAGAAAATGCCCTACAGGCCTGCCTATGGAAGTACTTTCTCAACTGAGGTTCTCTCAGGTGACTTTCACATATATCGAGTTAGCATAAAAGTTTTTAGCATGGCCATATAACTTTCTCAGACCCTTGTAACATGCTTAAGTTTTCAGGTTTCTTTTCCATTCTGGAAAGACATCCCGCCATGTTGTGATCTATAACAAGGAGAACACAGGGACAGTCAGCCAGCCTAGCCGTGTGTTCTTCTGTTACGCTTTCGCTTTCACTGCTCAGACCATGGTCTTGTTTGGCAGGGGAGACAGTGCAGCGCAACACTGTTACACCATGAGATAGTACGATCTATGTGCACACTGTTACAGGGTGTGGTTCATAAATTCCTAAGTAAACCTTATGGAAAATACAAGGTGGTCTTAGTGATCTATACATCCGTGGTCTTAGTTTTGAATGAGTGTGAGCGGCAGCTACACGAAAGGCACGTGCTCCTCAGTAAAACTGCACCCAGTGATTTACACTGAACAGAAAGAATTCTACTGAATCCTGCACAACTCGCTGTGCCTACAGCGCCTGCCCTCCTTGTAAGGGATATGAATTTGTCCAGGTTATTCCCTCCATCTTCTGGCTCATTCATTGGGAACAGGAATTGACAGGTCTTTAAATTGTATGTGTCGTGGGTGAGTTGCAGTAAGTAGCCATGATCAAGGAAAAGCAAGCGGACAAATGTACCCACCTTCATCATTGTCCGACCCCAAAATTCTGGTTAGATTTGGGGTCATTGACTGCTTGCAAGCCTAGAGTACCTTCTGCTGTCTTTAGACTCCACTAACGGGAAGGTTGTGTGAATACAGGCAAATCCAAAATTTCCCACTATCTCCTGCAAGGGAAACATCCCAGGGGACATTGGGGCCGTGCCTCGGGGTTTTTTTTCATGTGTCTAACTTGGCCAAGTGTTTGAGAAGGCAGCCAAGTAGTGACCTTGGAGGATTCTTAGAAGTTTTCCCATCTCAAGTGAAACTCGGAAGCAGAGATAGGGAAAACCTCGAGTCAGAGTTGCCTTTTGCCAACTTGAATTCCCTAGTCTACCTGAACAGGGATGTCCAGTCAGTCTGTCAGCAGGGAGCAGCCACTACAGTCTAGTCTTGTCACCAGGAGAGGGCCGGAGTAAATAATGGCATCTTTGGACCTTACCCGTGGCTCAGTGCCTCATCACCCCCCCAGTTTTCTCCCTTAGTAAACCACACGGGCTCTGAGATAAGCCAGGAGTCACATCTGCCGAGTCTACTCGGGGCAGTAGCTCTACTCAATCCAGCCTCATTCCCCTACGTTCACAGAGATCAGCCCATCGGTGCACCAGGGGAGTCAAGGAACCAAGATTTAGCTCTGTTTTTAGCCCCAGTCTCCTTATGCAGAGGGACCGTGGCCTCTAGCGGCTGCTGTCTTGTCCACCAGGCATGCTGCTGCTCTTTACATCTGCAGTATTTGGTAGGAAAACTAAATGGTGGCTCCTCCCTGATTGGATGAATGAGCCATCAATCAGACTTCTGAAACCGGATTGGGGTGGGGAGACTGAACAGGAGGTGGCCAAGTCCATTGTGAAGCAGTTTTCTTTAACGAAACAGGGACCAAGAAAGTCCCTCTCGGCATTTGAATATGAAGCATACAGAAATGGGAAATAAGTAATTCAGTTTTCCACAGGAAGTCTCTACTAGTGAAAATCACCAGGCATTCTTGGTGTTGCCAGGGAAATCGGGGTATCTTCTTTGGATTCTCAATCTTATCAAGAGAAAGTTAAACGATGGCCTCGGAAGGAGGCTGGAAGACAGTTTTATTAGAGTTTGAGAATCAACAAGGCAGGCAAGCTGCAAACTCCCCTCGTGGCAGCTGCCTTGGGGCTGGGGAGACTATGGAGGAGAGAGACCAACATGCTCAGCAGTGGAAGCCGGCAAGTGGCTGCACAGCAGCAGGAAGCTACGTGAAGGAAGGCGGGAGAAAGAGTGACAGAGAGCAAGGTAAATGCCTGCGGTGGTTTGAAAGAAAATGGCCCCCAAAGGCCCATAGGGAGTGGCACTTTTAGGAGGTGTGGCCTTTTTGGAACTGTGTCACTGGGGGGATGGGCATTGAGGTCTTCTATGCTCCAGCTATGCCCAGTGTGATACACAATTTCCTTCTACCGTCTGCGGATCAAAATGCAGGACTCACAGCTCCTCCAGCATGTCTGCCTGGATGCTGCCATGCTTCCTGCCATGATGATAGTGGACTGAACCTCTGAAACTGTGAGCCAGCTCCAATTAAGTGTTTTCTTTTATAAGAGTCGCTGTGGTCACAGTGTCTCTTCATAGGAATAAAACCCAATATAAGATACTAAAAGATAAATGTGATTGACTCTAGCTCCCTCTAATCCTAAACACCTAGCAGGAAAGGGCAGCTCAGGGGTACAATGACTAGCATACTTTTCTAAGGGGTTAAAGGGATCATATTCTTTGGACACTGGGTTCAATTCAACATTGCAGTGCCTATGTGAAGACAAGAAAAACTGGCCCACTGTTGTTTTAACCTAATAATCAAATGGTGGTTAAAATTCATCCTCCCTCCCTCCCTCCCTCCCTCCCTCCCTCCCTCCCTCTCTCTCTCTCTCTCTCTCTCTCTCTCTTTCTCTCTCTCTCTCTCTGGGAGGCCCCTCTCACTGTGATCCTACCCACTCTGACAGCTACTGACATGCCGAGGTCATCAGTCTCTGATATACTAAAGTGGCCACTAACATACTTTTCTTCAGTCCTTCCAATTCTTGGCTTCTACAGATGGCCTTGCAGGGAGAAAGAGAGAACCCAAGATGCACTGCCTGCCCAGTTTTTGCTGAAGCCTCCTGGAGCAGTCCCAGAGGACCACCCAAGAGTTCTTTCTTCTTTTTAAGATCCACATCCCTGTAAACTCTGCCCCTGCTTAGCACGAAGCAGCTGCAGCAGCAGTCACTGCCCTATTCCCTGACAGGAGTCAGTGTTCCTATCTGACATGGGGGAATACAGGGGAACCAGAGGGGAAAGAGAATGCATTCTTCCTGTGATGACTGCTGCTTCCCAGAATACACTGCAAGGTCAAACAGCAAGAAGGCATGGGAGCGGGTCTCTGGACTGTCAGTAGGAGAAAAGGGAAGCTCTATAAAATACCCAAGCCAGACCCTATAAAATACCCAAGCCAGAATTCTCGTGACAGACTCCCAGCCTAGGCTTCTCCCATCCCGAGGGGATGGATAAGCTGATACTTTTCCTCTCTCTTCAGCTAGGTCAATGGGCCCACGATCCCACAGACAAGCAGCAGTCCTCTCTCTGCACTGTGCTTCCGGGACATTGCATTTGATATTGTGACTCCTTTTCTATAACTCTCCTCGCAGGTACTCTCGGTGTTTCTTTATACCTCTTTCTCAGGAGTGAGTGAGTGGTGGTGTGAGTGAGAATGACTCCCCCAGAGGCTCATATACTTGAAGGCTGAGTCACCAGGAAGTGGAGCTGTCAAAGGATTAGGGATGTGGCCTTGTAGAGCTATTGTCAAAAGCCCTTGCCAAGTCTAGTCTCTTTCCTTTGCTCTCCTCTCCTCTCCCCTCCCTCCCTCCCTCCCTCCCTCCCTCCCTCCCTCCCTCCCTCTCTCCCTCCCTCCCCCTTCCCTCTCTCACTCTCTCTCTCTGCCTACAGATCAGGATATAGCTCTCAACTACTTCTCCAGCATCATGCCTGCTTCCATACTCCCCACAATGATGAACACGGACCTCATCTCTGAAACCGTAGACAAGTTCTCAGTTAAATGCTTCCATGTGTAAGTGTCACCTTGGTCATGGTGTCTCAGCAACAGAACAGTGACTAAGGACCCCATCCCTGGCTCTCTGATTGACTTCTATCCTTCCCTCTTCATGTGAGGACACCAAAGCTGTCAGCCACCAGGGAGGATTCCCCTCAAAGCTGCAGGTCCTGTCCCCTCCCTCACCTTCCCCCCCACCCCCAGCAACTTTTATGCAGCGGGATTAGCAATTCGAGTTAATGTTAGCATTCTGAAAGCGTAGCCTGGAAATCGTTAATGCTGACGTCTAAGAACGAACTACGGGTGCAGAAGTGTGTTAAAACTTACTGATGATGCTGCTTTGCTCTGGTGAACAGTGCACACAGGGTGAGCAGTGCAAACACGACGCCCGGGAGGGACCAGCTGGCCAGCGCAAAGCCACACCACTCCACAAGCTCCCCGAAATAGTTGGCTGCAGATACGTATTCAAACAGGCCTCCTAGGTGAAAGGAGAGAAAAGGGACACGTCACTATAAACGGCACCGAGCAGGACTCTGGGAATAATCCGCAGAATATAAATTCCATAGTGGGAAAGAAAGCTCCCGGCAGGAGGCTGATCTAAAGGTTTTATGAGGTGGAATGATGGGGCCAGGGGTTTGAGGACAGAAGAGGCCTTTATTGGCAGAGGGGAGTCTGCAAAATTTTACCTCCTACACAAAGAATACAGGGGAGGAGTGGTTGCTTTTCTGTGAACACCCCTGGTTCTGAGCCAGACAATTCTTGGAGGGGAGAGGCAGCTCAGGTGTTAAATGGTGGTGGTGGTGGTGGGTGCAGGAAGAAGGTAATGGGAAGGCTTGGCACAGAGGGTTTCAGAAGAGACATGAGCAGTGGCCATAAGCTGTTCCATGTGTCAGAACAGTAGAGGCAGAGGTTAGATAAGGATTGCAGGATTAGATCATAGCTGGGAGTCAGGTTGAGAAACAAGCGTTGCTAAGACAGAAAGCCGCCCAAGGTAGCTGTTGTCCTCTGTCCCCGGGATTTGGAAACAGCCCTTTTCTGTGATAAATTTTCGATGCAGATTTTGGAAAGTGGAGTACATGAGGAGAGGTGGTGGTTTCTGAAGAGGAGGATCAGGTCCGGGAGACTGGCAGGAAGGACGGTTTACATGGAAGAGAACTTGAGAGGCAGAGAGAGAGGAAGACCTGAAGGAAGGAAACCTCAGATGTGAGGACTTCTTCCACGTGCAAGTTAAGCAAATCTCAGCCAGGCTAGCTTTAGTAGAAGATTTTGAGGAGACATGCCAAAAGGTGTTTAGACAGAGGATTGCTGGGCCATGCCTGCAAGGAGGGATGGGACTCTTCCTCATAGAAAAGGTAGATGTGTCCCCCCGACCAACAGTTCTGTTTAGCTAGAGGACAGAAGCCCCTTCTCTGCTATGCCGCGGGGAGAACCACAGTTCTGTCTGGGGGAGCTCTCTAATAGGCACCATGGTTTTTGAGGTGTCCGCATGGAGGATGAGTAGAAAAGAAGCTTCTGGAGAAGGGAAAGAAGCTCAAAGTTCGGCTAAAGCCAAGTTAGCTGTCGGGGAGCTCAAAAGGAAGAGGCAGGCGGAGGACACTCCAGGGGAATGGAGCCTGGGGTTGCAGACAGGAATGGGAGAGCAAGAAGCAGAGGTGTGCCACAGTGAGAAGGACAGAAGGACAAGGCAGGAAAAACTTACTACAGTGTGGTACTTAAGGCTTATTTGGGGGGAAAGAGACCAGAGAGGGGTTGTTAAGAATCAGAGCTCATTTGCACATTGAGGTTTGTAACACAGGGCGGGAGTGGAGGGTAGGACAGAAAGTTAAGAACTCCCCTGTTTCACCTGTGGTTGGCCACCACCGCTAGTAGGTGTAACACAGGAGTAGTGAGTTACTAAAGAACTTGGTCAATAAACAACTTTCTCGGTTGGTCAGCAAGTACTGCATACTGGGAAGTTCATGGGGCAGGGCAACCATGGAGTCTAAAGACACAGATTAATTAGCTTCTAGGAACCAAATGACTGTAGTTACTGGAATTGTCTCAGTTCAACCCAAATGGAGAAGTTTAAAGAATCGGGAGGCCCTTGCTAACCAGCAACCATTGAGATGGACACCTTACTACACGTCAGACTCCTTCAACCACAACCTCGGGAAGGGGCAGTATCCCTGTATCCACGCCTGTCTGCTTCTCTGACAAGTCTATAGTTAAAGAGGCGACACACTCAGCCACGGGGAGTGCAGACTAACAGCCAAACAGGAGCTGGCTTAGTGATGAGCTGATATGGCTCTGAGAGCCAATCCTGAGGAGAGAGCCAGTCTCACATACACTCACTTCTTCAAAACACATGGAGCCCTGTTCCAGGCCTGGCTCTGCCACTGGCACTCGGTAAACTCCCTTCCCCCATCCAGACTCATGAACTCCTATGTAAACAAATGAGGGATGTCACCAGCATCAAGAGACTATGGGGCTGGGAGAAAAAGGGCAGGGTACAGGCTTAGTGAGATGGGGTTGAAGGGAGTCATTACAGAATCGTAGGGGGTTGGCCTTTCTGAGGTGACAGTCCAGCAGAAGTTGAGACCGCAGCAAAGATCCCCATGGAGGGAGACCAAAATGGCCAGCATGTAAAAGCAACTGAGGCAGATGAGGGCGAAAATGGGCTAGATACTTTGTAACTATGGTGAGTGAGAACACCTGAGGGTGCTACCGAGAAGCCCGGTGTATCTCACTCACAGCTCCAGGGAGAGGCAGGCCAGGCAAAAGTGGGCTGGACACTTTGTAACTGTGGTGAGTGAGGAACACCTGAGGGTGTTACCAAGAAGCTGAGAAGCTGAGAAGCCGAGAAGCCGAGAAGCCGGGTGTGTCCTGCTCCAGGTTCCCACCCACAGCTCCATCGAGATGCTGCTGTGAGTGGAACTTGTTTTAAAAAGGTGTTCACCTCTCAAGTCACAAAAGCACTGCCAGAGACCGCAGATCACCGCTGGCTGTGGTCAGCAACCAAAGCACATGAGTGTCCTGGGGGGAGCCGTGGTGGCGTACTTCTCAGAAGAGAAGGAGCTGTTGTAGTGAACAATGTGGGTTAGATACCCCAGGCTGGCTCAGGAGGGGAGCAGACACAGCTCACCCTTCTAGATGAGCTGTATTAGCAGAGAATGCCTAGTAAAGGTGGAGAGATGTGGGCAGGGGGACCGTGACCATGATTGGAAAAACAGTGGCTGTGACTAGCATCATGGAGGCCTGAAGGAAAAGCCTCCGAATCCTCAAACACATTGGGAATCTCTGACTCTCACAGATTTTCAGGGCCGGTGAGGAAGTTCCATACCATCTGGTTTAGCCAAGTCTAGACTCAAGGTGCCGGGTAGGACTATACATTTGTCTTGCGGTACGAAGGCACAGCACAGTAGGGCTTCTTAATTCTTTGTCTAAGCTGTAGGGAGCCTAGGAAGACTCTTGAGTCTTGAGTGAATGTGTGCGTTGTCACCGGCATGGTCAAGTCAAAGAACTTGGGTCTCTGTCCTATGGGAGTGGCAATGCCTTCCCTGGCTCAGAGGGATGGGGAAACCTGGTCCGTGTGGGGTCACTGACAGTGTATGTAGAAAATGTCACCATAGCTTTCTCCCCACAGATATTTACGGACTGGATGCTCCCTTATGGAAACCTCCTATCAAGACCAGCTAAGCCTCCCTCCTGGATCCAGCTGTACTTCATACACCCCACCTCCGAATCAGCTCTGTACAACCTCCTGATGTCAACCTGGTGTCACAAACACAGTGAGCTTCCAGGGGCTGTGGTTTCACCGTCAGATAGTCCAGCCCCGATCCCAGATCTTCTGTGTGACTATCCGTGCCTGTGGTTTCTTCATTCCCTCACTGCCCTAGTCAAGTCCAAGTCTGTGGAGCTGGGCAAGGACACAGCGCTGAGGGAGGAGGGGACAGGGAAGGGAGAGGAAGAAAGCAAAGAGGGTCTGTGATCAAACATACTATTAAAGGAAATGGTTTCAAATTCTAGGGGTTTAATTGTTGTTGTTGTTGGTGGTGTGTGTGTGTGTGTGTGTGTGCAAGCATGTATGTGTGTATGCAGGCATGTGTGTGTATGTGCATGTGTGTGGTATGTGTATGTATGTGTGTATGCAGGCATGTGTGTACGAGTGTATTATGTGTGTTCATGCACGTGTGTGTGTGTGTGTGTGTGCGTGTGTGTGTATGTGTGTGAGCACACCCATCTCAGGCTCTGATTTTAGAATTCCGTCTGTGGGCATTTGTGGTCAGGGTCCAGCGGGTTGTGAGGATTATTTGTTGCTTTAGACACTTCTGGGGATGATACTCTCTCACTCGCCGCCATTGAAAAGAAACAAGCCAGGCACAGTAGCACAGGATACATGAGATCCTCCATGAGAACCGAAGTGTCTTAGGGGCATGACACTGGACTTAGGGTACAGGTAGTGTCTACTGGAGAGGACAGAGCCTCAGGGTTGGGACTAGAATGCAAAGGAGGGCTAGAGTTTGGGCATGTGGCCAGAGGCAGCTAAGGGTGCCTGTTGCCAAGCTTGATGACCTAAGTTTAACACTCAGAGCTCACAGGTTGGCAGGGTAGAACTGAATCCGTGAGCTGTCCTCTGACCTCCACACGTGTGCTGTGTGACATGTGTCTGCCCCTGCATATACACATGCCCGAATGACCGATAATGATGGTGATGATGAAAAATGAAAGAAAAACTGCCTGACTCCTCCAACTAGGGACCTCTGTAATGCCACCCCGATCTGGAGCTGAGGCTGCAATGGGCACTAAGTGATCTTTCTCTTTGGTGTCCGGTAAGAAGAGGTGACTTTCTGGTGGAAACACGTGGGGGTGGGGGGCGGGGGCTGGTGAGTGCACGGCTGACTAAAAATCCCAGACACTCTGCTAGGTGCTGTCTCTTTCATACACAGAGGCAGAGTTAGTGATGCAAGACAAGACAGTGCGTGACAAGTGTGTATAACAAGTCACAGATGAGTGCACTGCCTAGGACATTAATATATGCTGATTTTAAAAAGCTTAGGAGCGGGTCAGGTGGCTCGGTGGCTTGCCTTGTAAGCACAAGGACTTGATTTCGGTCCCCACCCCCAAGGTAAAAGGTCACAAGGAGCACATGCTTGTTGTCTCAGATCTTGGGAGACGAAGGCAGGCAGATCCCCATAACCTGCCAATCAAGCTTTTATCTGTTCTTTAAAATATATTAGTTGAACGAAACGAAGCAGTGGCTTGTCGCTGTCACCTATAGCCCACAGTGCTTGCCCTTTGTCCAAGTTGCATGGGTCTCTGTACCTGCATGTGTGGACATGCTGGGATCCTATCTCCATATCTACCCCTGATTCTATCACCAACCAGCCAAACAACCTCACTTGGCCTTGGCCAGTGATACCTCCGTAACTGTCAGCTCTGCTAAATGATTCTGCAGGACGTGACCGAGCACAGATTTAGTGTAGGAGAAAATGTGGCCGTGCCGAGGGTCATGTTCAAAGAGCCTCTTGAAATCCACAACGTGCGGGGAGGGGGTGAGTTCAAGACTCGGAGCTGTCTTACCACATCCCTGGTGCCCTGGGTCTTCAGAACCACCACCGACAGAGTACACGCATGGAATGCTAGTACAAAAGCCTGTGTTTCCTCCTCTGGGGGTCTCCTCAAGGATCTGAGCAGCCACCGAGCAGAGGACTGTCTGGGTGCAGCTGACAGCCTTCTGTCAGTTTTCTGTGGTGTGTGCTGAGCTCCTCTGAATGGCAGATGTGAGGCTTGGCTTCCCCACCAATGTTCTCTTGACTTTAGCTTTTGGAGCACCCTGGGGGTCCCCCCTGCTTTGTGGAACAGGGCCTCTCGGGCTTCATTCTCTTTTCATTTTCATCTTTTACGTCCTTTGGATGGGACCTGCTGGTTGTTCTGCTGTTGTCTCTGGTATTCCTCTTCACTCAAAAGATTAGAACCGATGATCTGTAGAAGAGATTGCCTGCCTGGCCTTTCCTGTGTGCCCAAGGCATCTCCTATTGTCTGGAAGACTTTAGCTTTTGCATCTCTGCTCAGCTTGACCCACGGACTGTGGAGGCCTCTGGGGATGGGGCTGCTGCCTACAATGGGGGTGGTTAACCCTCACTGTGGGATGAAGGCTGCTCCGCCTGTAGCAGGCGACACTCAGCTAGCCTCCAGTCAGTGGGCACTGATATTGCAGCCCCTTCACTTCCGTGCCCAAAGACAAATGGCATTGGGATGTCACCTGCAGCTTTCTCTGCTCCCTGGGAGGCATTCCTGTTCAGACAGGTTTCGATGCTGTTTCCTCAATAGTGTGACTGTGAAGGTCTCCTCACTTTCTCTTTCTTGATCTTCAGGTTTTAATATCTTGGGTTAGGACACAAATCTGCAACTGGCATCAAGAAATGAGAGAAGCTGGGCAGGATGGCGCATGCCTTTGATACCAGTCCCTGGGAAGTAGGAGCAGGGGGATCTCTGAGAACTTGGGAGTAGGCTGGTCAACAGAAGTTCTAAGCCAGTCACGAATACATGGTGAAAATGTTGAGTGAAAAAGAAGAAACTTGAAGGGAAAGGGACGCACGTCTGACTGAATGACATCTCCGCCACAGGTGGGACAGGCTGCTGTCTATGGAGCATCTCTGGCTAGGCAGGACCCTCCCCTGGGATCCTGTTGTCTCTGGACTTTATGAGTATCAGTGAATATGAAGTGTCCCCTCATAGACTCATGTGTTTGAACACGTGGTCCCCAGTTCCTGGCACCATTTGGGGGAGCTTAAAGAACTTTTAGGAGAACGTGGTTGACAAGGTGATAAACCTTAAGAGTATTTCTAGTCCACTCCTGACTTCACCCTAGATCTCTCAGCTTCCTGAGCCCTGAGGCAAGGCGTTGCAGCCATGATATTCTGCCATGCTTCCCGGTACCCTCTCAACTGCAAGCCAAAACAAATCCTTCCTCCTCAAGTTACCCTCTGATCAGTAACTGCTTGTGGTGAAGAGAGATGTCCCAAATGTGGTGTTTCTTGGACCTGTCACTTCTGTGGCACTGGGCACTCGGTGAATCCTTCTGTCTGTCTCCTGCATCCGTCTCCCACATCTGGAATCAGGTGCTTCTCATGCAGACGTGGATGGGAGGCAGGAGGCAGGGGCAGTGCCCACACTCTCCTTTGGAGAGCCGCACTAGACTCCACTGTGGAGCTCACAACAACCCTCTCCCATCCCCTAGCTCTCATCCCCCGCCACACCCAAGTTGTGTTGCTGTCTCCTTCAAACTGAAACCTTCGCATACAGAGGAGGACATGCAACCGGGAAATTGCCCCACAAGGATTACGTGGCTCAGGAAATCTCCTGAAATCGACAGGGTTGACAGGGTACCTCTCGTCACTGCAGGGGAGAAGAGACTGTCTGACTCATCAAGTGGCCAGTGGGAGGCCAGTGGCAAGTCAGGCAGGGTATTCCAGCAGTGTGGCTTTTGTGACTCACTACCGGGGCTGGGGTGGGCTGTGGAGGCCCAGCTGCCTCTGAGTCACCCGTGCTCCCATAAACCATGGCAACCAACCCACCGGCTCACTACTCTAGACTGGAGTAGAATCCTTTCTTCCGTCGGTGCTCTGCCTTAGGGGAAGAGTTAGTTGTTCATGTCTCCTCAGGAAAAGTCACAAAGCAGCCTATCATATGACTGGAACTCCTGGGCTGGCTCCGCTACTTCCTGGCTCTTGGGAGTTGGCAGTGATTCGAAATTTGGTGTGGTTTATTTTATTGGTTTTTTTTTTTTGGGGGGGGAGTACATCTTATTTTTGTTATTAATCAACCTCACGTGTTTTTTTTCTATCAATGTTTTAGGTTCATTCACAAAACTCTCCTAGTTTACCCACCAGTGACTCCGCCGCTTTAAAACCTGCCCCTATCCGGTCCTGAGGGTCAGCGGAACTCTTGTGCACAGTGCTCTAGTTCCTCGTGGGACCCATTTTTGAACATCCCTTCCTCTGGGCATGATACTGCAGTTAGGGCTGTACGGATGTGGTGAAAGCAGGTGTTCCCGGGACTTTACGGCCAGGTCAGTGGATGCCCCACACCTAGACTACAGGGAACATAACCCAAAGCTCTGAGCTTCTCAGATGGACCAAGGGCCATGGATTTGGGCTATAAGTGAACAGGAAGGGGTACTGGTCACACTATTCCTTGAACTCCACCACACATTCAGATGCTGCTGGCACATGACTGCTTTTCCGGGAAGTACACTTAATGTATATTTAAAGGTTTTTTTTCCAAACGAAATAAAAAAAATCTCATTCAATATTTTATATAGTTTTTAAAGAGAGAGATTTGATAAAAGAAGCCATTTATTCCATCACAGTGCTGGACAGGAAGTACCTGTAAGTCCTCCTTATCCAACTTCCAAACACTGACAGCCTTCACCACTTAATCATCTTCCCAGAAGCCAGACCTAACTGTGGTTCACGATGAAAACTTTCAGTCAGTAAATGCTGCGCTGTGAGTTCACAGAGCTGAGAAAAGAAGGCAGGTGGGCAGCATGCAAAGCAACTTTGCAGAAAGGTCCCCTTCGGTACATACCCCTGGGTATTTTGTATCCATTTTCCCCTGGTTTTCTCAGGTTCCTCAGGATGTGGTCTGAGTGGATATTTATTACCATGCCCACTAACCACAGGGCAAAACCTGAAGAATAAACAAGATGATTGTAGTTAATAACTGGCAGGACTTAAGAAAGCCATGCTCAGTTGAACAGCACACCGCGATCCTTTGTATAGGTGTCAGTGTGGCTGGTGGCAATGCCATACACACACCAGTGTGAGCTGTGGCAGTCAGTTGTTTCCTTGAGCATGACTATGCTCATCCATTCTACCCAAAACACTCTGACCTGATTTGTGGTCTCAATCTGTGTTTTTACCATGACAGGAACAGAAAACAGGACGTATGACCTGGACAGGGGAATAGCCCTGCATGTGTGACCTGGACAGGGGAACTAGCCCGCACGTATGACATGGACAGGGGAACTAGCCTGCACGTATGACCTGGACAGGGGAACTAGCCTGCACGTAGTATGCTTATCACCCTTTTTCCTCAGGAAAACTGCATGAGGAAATGCTCAGTCTCTCCTCCATATAAGGAGAGGTACATGCGTCCTGGCTACACACCCTACCCCTGGGGAGTAGGCATAGATCCTCGGATGGTGGCTGCTCCTCTTTTTCCTTTTCCTTCTGGCTCTGTAGTGCACGTATCTGGCTTTCACTCCATTAACCTGCTCCCAGCCCCCCAGACAGCTCTCGTCTGATGATTGGCCACTCACCCATCCCCAGGGGCTATAAACTACATGGCTTGCACTGGTTCCCACTCAGCACCTATGAGGTCTGTCTGACCGGGATGTTTCCTAGAGTCCTCAGGAATGTTCTTCATTTTAGGAAGAGGGGTGTAAGACTTTAATAAAGATATGTTCATGTTTGCTTCTGCATGGAGGTTAGGAAAGAGGCTTTCAGAAGTGGTCATCGTGAAAACAGATGTATCACATCAGTTGTTTTCAACCAGGGAAGGCCAAGTGTCAGAACTCTGCCTTATAACAACAACAACAACAAAAATGAATTACTCTGATATCAAAAGGCAAATCTGATCTTTATGAGATATTAAAACATGTGAAGGCCAAATGGTGTTGCAACTGTTATCATCGCTGTGTGCACTCAGCAAACTGTTGGATTTGCCAGGACACAGGATGCTCTCTCGTAGTAAACAGACTCTTTGGAACAGGCTCCTGGGTTTCCTCATCCTGATACTGCCACCAGAAAAGTCATGTCACGATTTTCATAATCACATCGAATGCTGTGATAAGGCTTCCTGGATCCTGATGGTTAGAGTGGACTCACTAGCTCTTCTTATGTTTGGATTTTGGATATTACAACTACAGGATTTGGCTTTTAAGTAGTCACAAAGGAAAGTGGACTCTCTGGATCCCGTGTTTACCCCATTTACCTTCTGAGAGACCAGCTTTACTCAGTCAGTGCTGAGATTGGGAGAAAACTAGCATTTGTGTGCATCCAAGACACACTGAATTTCACTTGTAGAATTTTAAAAGCTTAAAAAAAAATATGTATCTGAGATGGCTAAAAACTGATTGTCAACTTGACAGGATCCAGAAACACAGAGGAGACAAACATCTGGACAAGTCTGCACAGGTTCATGGGGACTGAGAAGATGCACTGTTCCATGGTCCAGGGTCCTGGATTAAATAAAAAGAGAAAGCTAGCCGGATAGCAGAGTTCACTTCCCTTTGCCTCCTGACTGTTGACACAGCATGACTAGTTACTACCACGCCTTCCCTAGCAGGATGGGTTGACCTCTCGATTGGTGATTTTTGTTACAGCAAGGAGAAAAATAACCAACAGAAACTGGAAGGAGGGGGGAGTACAGCCATTGGTTGCCATGGTAACCTTGACCACCAGGCTTCTCTCAGGTGGAACTGGCTCACAGTGAGACTGTGGGAGTTGGAACTCCATGCTAGAGAAGTCATAAGAAGATGTAAGCGGAGCTTACTGGCCCATCCTGGTGGGAATTCAGAATCCCAGAATCCCAAGAGAAACATAAGACACTAGAGACCTGCCTTGTGCTATCCCAGAGGGGAGACACAGGTCCTATCAGGAACTGGGCTAGAAGCCAATGTTACATTGTGGCAAAGATTGGTAGCATTCTGCCTATGTTCTGAGAACTGGAATGGGACTGAATTCAAAAGAAGTGGCCTCATTTGTTTGGTGGAAGGAATTTTAAGACAGGAGAGTATCCAGGCTGTGGCTGCTCCTCCCTGCTCAGAATGTACAGTAACACGTGTAACATAGAGACGAAAATGTAGCATTGAGTGGGGAAGAAGCAAACCTTGAGATGCGTCTGAGAGGGTCCCCAGGAGCACATAGGCTCTAGGGAGCTAGGGCAGGTCCTTGGAGCTCAGTTCTGATCCAGTCCTTTCCTTCCAACTCTAACAAGAGTGGGAAGATCCACCTCAAATATGGTGGCTCCTTCCTTGGGCTAAGGTCCCGAGCTGAAAGAGAACTCGGTCTGAGCTGTAGCACTCATCTCTCTCTGCTTCCTGACAGTGGATTCAATGTGACCAGCCACCTCCTCGCTCTCCTGCAGCCGTGCCTCCCCTGTTGTCAATGACGGACTGTACCCTCAAACTGTGAGCCCCAATAAACCCTTCCTCCCTTATGCTGCTTTCATTTTACATTTGTCAAAGGAAGGAGAGTAACAACTGATGCATTACCAGAGTCAAAATGGATCCACTTCGGCCAAACCTCACTGAAATAAATAAGGAAGCAGAGCCGGGAAAGGGATGCATGTGCACGTATAGGAACAATGGGGGGGGGCGTGCATGTATTTTAAACAGTAGAAACAGGGGGCGTGCATGTATACATGTTGAACCGTAGAACAGGGGACATGCATGTATATACATGTAGGAACAGTAGAACAGGGGGCGTGCATGTATATACATGTAGGAACAGTAGAACAGGGGACATGCATGTATATACATGTAGGGACAGTAGAACAGGGGACATGCATGTATATACATGTAGGAATAGTAGAACAGGGGGCGTGCATGTATATACATGTAGGAATAGTAGAGTCGGGGTGCTGGGGAAGCATGTGTATACACACGTAGGAACTACCACACAGGTTCTGCCAGAACCTTACTCAGTCACTCCTAGAAGGTGGCAGTCACTGCACCTTCTAGGAGATGTATCTGTAAGGGGCCTGCCTCAGAAATAGTTAGAGCTAACTCGATACACCGTTGCTGTCTTTGTAAATACCTTCCACACTCCCCTTCATTTTGCTCTCACAAGCGTCCGTCTGCCTCAGCCTGGTTGAGCACACTGACATAGCAACAGGCTGTGCATTTCTGTGGTAAAGGCCGTCTACCCGCATCCCACATCACCACGGTTCAGAGACTCTTCCTCCTCTGTTACTTGCAGTGGCAGATCTTCCAGACTGAGCACACTTATGGCTCGGGGAAGTTTCTGTTATAATGTTGCTTCTGGCAGGAACTAGCTGAAGGACAACTGCCTATTCCGAGCAAGGCACTGCATGAAATCCACACAGGTGAGGGATCTGGCTCCCTCCCTGGTGGGTGTGTCACTGCTATTTCCTTGTCATTCCATTTAATGGTGAGGAAATCAAGAGGTCTGTAAACAGTTGACAGGCAGCTCAGATTGCAGACCAACTGCAAAGGTGCCTCTGGGTGACTTGATAGGTCCCAGGAGCTGCTTCAGACGGTGACTACACCCACGGGCAGAAAGGATGTTATCAGAATTTACACAAAAATGACTCATTTGATTTATACGTACCCAGGGTCACGTAGCCTGTGCTCCAACCCAGCCTGCTAAGTGTAGCTCTCACCCTTCCTCAAGGAAGCTTCCTCTTGCAGCAGACACCATTATAGGAAGCTACAGCTCTCACTATGCGGAGAACTGAGGGCACAGGACCCAACTTGAAGTGATACATCCAGAACCCAACCACTAGAGTCAAGGTTCAGAGAATATTCAAGGAAGAGGGGGAATAAAGATTGTCAGAGCCAGAGGCCCAGGACATCTGCTGTGACACAGTACCTTCTAGACACAGCAGAGAAGGTACGCCCATGAAATTTCAATGGTATGGCTACCTAAGCAAAGACTTACGTGATGACAGCACCAGTTGGCATGTCGATATAGCTGGGGGAAATTTCACAAGATGAAGAGCCTGCAGGCAACCAATGGCCACAGAGAGAGGTAGAACTAACTTTCTCTAGGGATTAGCTCCATGTTAGGTCATCCAGTCCCAAGTGGTTGGCCCTAAACACATATATGTGTGAACCACACTAGATGTGTGTGTGTGTGTGTGTGTGTGTGTGCATATGTGTCACAATCATTAAAGAAAAGGGGGTCATGAGTCTGAGAGGAAGTTGGGGAGACACGGGAGAGTCAGAGGAGGGGGAGAGATTATAAATACAATACTCATGTATGAAATTCTCAAAAAAATCAGTAAAGAAATAAGCATCTGAGAGAGCAAGAGAGAGCAAGCGAGAGAAGCAACTACTCTTGGCATTCTTGATTCCTAGCTCTGAGTTCAGACAGCTGAGTCAAAAGCAGCCATTCCATCACCAGGCATCCTCATCCTGCTGTATGAAGCTTCCCGCCGTTTCCAAATTCTCCACATCACTCCATTGTACTTAAGGACCAAGAGGATCGAGGTACTTGGCTTAGGCCTCCTGGCCTGGCCTGAGCAATCAAGGATAGCCTCACCCTTTGGACCCCCTGAGGAGGAGGAGGAGGAGGAGGAGGAGGAGGAGGAGGAAGAGGAAGAGGAGATCATGTGACTTGTGGTTCCTTCTCTAATGTGGGCTCTCTGATAGAAGCCTGTGGGGGCAGAAGAGGAAAGGCTGACCTGTGTGCACTCACCTGTCAGGAAACAGGGATGAGTCACCCAGTCTTCAGCATATACAGCAAACTGGCTCAAATATCTGCTCTGTAAGTAGCCGTTGATGGTGCAGAAGAGGAAGGCCATGACAAAGGTGAACAGCATGGTGGGCTTCCCTCCCCTGATCAGAACTGGGAAAACCAGCGTCCTTAGGAAACACAAGGAAGAAACGAACTTGAGACTTGGAGGGTCTGCTTCTGTGTCGTCGGTTTACATGACTTGGGTTTGTTTGTTTTGTACAAATGGTGCCCTTGGCTCACGCTCTGTTGAGTTACTCTATGCTAAAACCAGGGTTTTTGGATGAAGGACTAATTATGCTTTGGTCATGTTCAGCACTCATAGTATTCAGGATTCTAACCAAACAGAATATGAAACAGATACACCGACACAGAGAAAACTAGACAATCTCTGCATCCTAAAACCACCCCCAAAGCAGCCTGGTACCCAGACCTCTGTCTGCATGTGCATACCCCAACACAGACAGACACACATATACATCATTTAAAGTCATGAAAATAAGTTAAAAATATAAAAATTTTAAAAGAAAATATGCCTGTTAAAATACAGTTTACTGGTAGCCGGAAGGGTATCTTGGTAGGCGAAGTACTTGTCTTATGAACATAAGAATTTGAGTTTAATCCCCAGATTTAAAGGTTCAAAAAGAGGAAAGCAAATTAAGATTAAGACACAGAGAAGATTAATAAACAGCCTGAGCACTCTGGGTTAAGGCCACAGAGTTTCTAAGTAATGATTGGCATTTTGGAGTTGGGCAATGCTCTGTGGGTGACAACTTCTCCAGGATACTGGAATCACAGCTAGTTTTCTCCAGTTCGATTTTAAGTTCAGTGATAATGGGTGAACCAGTCACAAGTACTGGCTGGGACTCTTTTGAGTGTGAAGTGCTGCTCTGTCAGTGTGTTCCTCTTGCTTGCTGCATCTGATGTTCCTCACCTGCTGGATTGGGAAGAGCCTCACCCACTGGCAGATCCAGTGGGTCATGGCTTCCCCCACCACCGTTTGCTCTCAGCATGAGGAATGGGCTGCCCTTGTTGCTACGTTCTGGCACAGGAGTCTGACGGCTTAGAAAGGGATCTGTGCAACTGTTCTGAGCTCAGAACACAGATACAGACACTCGAGCGAGAACACTCAGACTCCTGGTGAGCTCTGCGGGGCTTTTGGGAACAGCTTTTCTGCAGTCTTGATAACTATCTTCATGATTCATCAGCAACTTCAGAGGCAATGCTCTGCATCAATGTGCCAACACATTATTAATGTGTTTATTAATGTCAAGGTTATTGGACTCTAAAGTCACGTCAACTGCTTTATCGATTTTCCATGGTGCCCAAAATTCAACACGAAATCTACATTATCACGTAAACTTGCAAAAGGCATAGTTTCCACACTCAGACTGCGCCTCTGCCAGTGGTTCGTGAGCTGGAATGTTTTAAAAAATCCCTCTGGGTACTCCGGAGTTGTCATCCAATACTCAATGGGAAGAAATGCATCTGCAAGGTTATGACATTATGTAGTCTGTTTACCAAGATATGGACCAAAATGAATGACATGAACTTTTCAAGGGCACCACTGGAACTGCATACGGTAGACTGCTATCAGTAGTTGCTTTGTTCGCTTGCCTCAAGAGCCATAGACTATCTAATAAAGCCCCCAGGGCCAAGCATGGAAAACCTCCCTTCGAGTTGTTGGTCAAGGGAGCCCAAGAGACTCCAAAAAGTACAAGCTACTGCCATTTGTTACTCTTGGCTGCCTCCCAGCCACTATTCCCTCTCTTCCTCCTCCTCCTGTCTTCAGCACCACAGCAGGTTCCCATTCCCAGGGCGATGGTGGTGTCACACAGGAGCCAGGCTGGACTTGTTAACACCACTTCTGGGCCTTGCCCATGGGACCCTGTTCTCTGTCGCTCTCTCGTCCAGCCTTGTATCACCCACGACAACCTGTACCAACAAGGGAGAGTTTGCCAGACTGCCTTTCAAAGGCCTCTTAGCAGCATGAAATGGTCTTTCCACCCTGGTTTACTTCCAGGAGGAGCCGATACAGCTCGAATGACTGTTTAATAAATAAATCAGATGCTTGGAGGTGAATGGAAACGGCTTATCTTTTCTACTGGGAAAACCTGAATGTTGCCTAACCGCTTGTGTCCTATGTGTCTAGTGACATGTACCTCTCCCTCCCCCACAGCCTCCTCCACATAACAAGTATCTCCCAGCGGTTTTAAAAACCGTACCTGGCAATACAAGGGCTTTGGAGTGGTTTCCCACTCAGCCACAAAGAAACCGAGTCATGGTCCTTTGCAGGAAAGTGGATGGAACTGGAGAACCTTGTGTTAGGCAAAACAAGCAAGAGTCACTGAGACAGATACTGCATATTCTTTCTCATGGATAGATCATATATATATATATATATATATAATATATGATATTTTTAAATGTAAAATTATATATTATACACAGACTATATACATATATCACACACACACACACACACACACACACACACACACACACACACACATATTGTACTGGTACAGGTCCCAAAACTAGAGTAAGGACTTTGAAGAGGGGAAAAGATATTGATGGGGCACATGAAATAAAAAAAACGGCAGAACAGAAGTGACTTAGAAGCAGGAGATTGGGAAGAGGAAAGGGTCTGGGAAGGGGAGGGGAGGAGGGGGGGAGAGATGGATGGAGGGGCAAGGGGAGACAGATGGCCAACAGAGTGGTCATGCAATTGTTTGTTATTTTGAATGCTAATTTAATTTAAATCAATTAAAGTTAATTGATTAAATTCTAAAGTGAATAAAAACAAATGAACGAAGCCACTGATATCAGGACTCTAGTGCCACCAGTCCCCTAACTAGCAGCCCAAGCCACCAAACTAGCAGCCCAAGGTGGCCCCCACTTGGCTGAGGCGCTCAGGTTCTCTGCCCCGCCCCACCAAAGGGTCTGCTCTGCCCCTGCTACCCAGGAAGTGGCCTTTGCATTTGCAGGGCTGCCTCTGTTCTCTCACTTGCCTAGGATTAATCCTGTCATTTCAAACCCAAAGGCTTGGACCCAGAACGCTCAACAAAATTTTAGGGAGCACTCCCTTTGTTTCTAACCTCATGTTTTCAGAAGGTCTTCACTGGCATCGAGCCTGGAAGAATACATACACGGACAGGCCCGTATGTATGAGAGGGGAAACAGAACTTCTCAGCATTTATCAAGCCCTTGGATGTGTCAGTACCGTGTGAGCTTCACACAGTAAGTAGACTATTTGTCATGAATGCCAGTCCTACATGGTAAGGCATTAGGAAGAAACAGCTCATGTTATTGGTGGGAAATCCTGTACAGTGTAGGCATTTACCCCAAGAAAGGACGTTGTTGGGATAGCCCTGATAGCAGGCAAACTCAGAATGGGCTGTTTGTCAAAATCTATTAAAGAACAAACAAGAGGCAGAGGCAGGAGGATTTCTGTGAGTTCAAGGCAGGTCAGGGCCATAGTGGGACCCTGTCATTGCCAAATATGAATAACAATGAAAGCACAGATAACTAAAAGTGGAAGGTAATGAGGGAGAACAGGTCTGTCTTATGCCTAAGCCTGTTAACAAGTACTTGCAAAAGGCTCTGCTGAAAGCTTGGCTTTCACAATAGCCAGCTTACAAAACAGGTGAACAGAAGAGCATCTCTGCAAGCCATAATGTCTCCCGTAGTCCGGCATTTGAAGGTTTGGCTCCCTGTTTGGGGAGACTTAGGAGATAAAGCTTCGCTGGAGGAAGTGTCTCACTGGGGACAGTTTTGAGCTTGGAAATGTGCTACTTTGAGGTCCTTCTGTTTCCTGCTTCTTCTGATCTGAGATGTGACCTGATCTTGTTCTGCCACCAAGCCTGGGGGGGACACTTACCCGAGACAGGAGTGCTTCCTTCTATGAGCTTCCTTGCTCGCCCGGTGTTTTCTCAAAGTGACAGAAAAGTAACAAATTCGTTATGTGCTTTGTCTTGGGCAGACACTTTATTACTGATCCTCTGAGTCAAGAACTGTAGATTCAAAATGCTTTCTGTGATTCTCTCCTCGTTTGCTTTCAAAGCCCACCTGACCTCAACTCTCTGGAATGTGCAAAACCTGCGACTGTGCTGGTATTTTCTTTCTGTCCTCTGCCACCCCCAAAGGTGTGTGTCTTCCCCTTCCAGACCTCTCTGCTTGTTTTACCTCCAAAAGGGGAAATAAGAATATTGGCTTGTCTGGCTTCACTACCCCATAGCTTAGGGTGGTGAAATAGGTGTGCCATTTTTGCCAACCACCTTCCTGTCTGAGTCAAATCCCTGTCCTCAAACAATAAAAAAAAAAAAAAATCCCTTTGTCTGGTACAAGCCTAACTGTCTGCCACAAGGGCTATGGGAGCCCCAAACTCTGCAAACAACACTTTAAGACCCTACCCTCACCCCCCATCCTCAGCCCTGCTCTTCTTCCCAGATTTGCTGAGATTAAAGGCATGTGCCGTTACACTTGGCTTTATCTGTTTTATTTTGTTTGATCTTTAATAGACTTTGACAAACAGTATTGGCAATCTTTCAGCCTTCTGTCACTGGCCTGATCTTGGTCTGATACCAAGCCTGGGGTAGACACTTATCTCTAGTCAGGAGTGCTTCCCTTCTATGAGCTGTGTCCTCAGGTCTCTTTTCTGAGACAGGTAAGAAAGGATTCCCATTGACTAGTCCTTTGGAAACTGAGTAATTCAGTTACTAAATTCCAAAGGATTGTGTGTGGATTTTTCCAACACATTTTAGGTAGGCCTACCTAAAATGTAAACAAGTAAGTGTTCGTCCCTAAACTCAGAAAGCATTGAAAGAAGGTGAAATAGTATTTTAAAGAGAGAACAAGCAGGCAGGCAGGCAGGCAGGCAAGCAAAGCTGGGCAGCAGACAGGAGGATGCAAAGTGTAAGGGCAGCCTGGACTTCACAATGAGGTCCTGTGTCAAAGAGCCAAACAAAATATGCTGCTATGGGGCCTGCTAGCTTTGGTTGATTACTTATTATTAAGGAAAATAAAAAGTCCAAAGCTGAACCCTGTCCCATTTTGTCAGAAATATAAGTTGGACTCAGTCCTTTTAATGACTGCCACTAGCCAGTCAGGGACAACCTGGCTGCAGGCCCGG